CGGAGACAGCAGCGCCACGTGACAGTTTAGGGCCATCTATTTAGTACGTACGCATGGAGGGGGGAGTTAACCCAAATGCGTACACTTGCGTATGGGGGTCTACTGACAATGTACACATAGGAAACGGGGGGGGTGGGGGGGTGAATCCTCGATAATAATTTGTCTACATTGGCCTTCCAATGAGCCACAGTTTAGTTTCTCAAGCTGTCAGACAACAAGTACTACCGGGAGAAGTAGGCCTGTGGGAGAGGTGTCACTTGTATGCTGACTGCAGCTATCACGCAGCTCAGCAGTGAGTCTGACATAGTCTGGAGGCCTGCCCCATAAATTACAAATCCTTCAATCTGGCCTCACTGCAGACTGCCGCTGGCTCAAGATTTTACCTGCCACGGTGCTCTCTGTTCGTGCTGCTACTGCTGCCCAGACTTCAGTACTAACACTGGTCTGTGCATCCGTCTACTATTACAGCAGATGTTCCGTCGACGCACTTTATAAAGCGGACACTAGACAAACTTTTTAAAGGTACACAAATTAATTCTTTAATGGAGCCGGCGGTGAACTATCTGTTTGCTTAAACACGTTGATATTTTTAATCCTTGATCGTTTCTGCGTGGATTAAATATCGGCCGTTCTATAGGATTAAGGGGGGGGGGGGCGTCAAGTGTACGTACGCAGGTGGGTGGGGGGGGGGTAAAAAGTACGCGTGCATACAGGGAGGGGGGGAGGGGTCAAGTTTTGACGGATTTTTGCGTCCCTACTAAATGGATGGCCCCTTAACGCTGTGCAGTGTGGCCTATTACGCGTTGGCTACTGCTGCCCTCACATTCACCTGGTGGCAGCTGACATTCTCAGTTCCCACCTTTAAAATGTGTTTGAAATCATTTGAGATTTCTTGAGGATAATCGAACCGTTATATTAATTTTAAAGGTATATTTATATATATCGCCGGATGACCAGAGTAATAACGGCGTCTCCAATGCGTCACAGAAACCCAATGCATACGAGAGTTACCCAACCGCCACCGCGCTTCCACGTTCGTGGTCAACTCAAGGTGGCCGCTATTTCTCTGTCGAAGCTCGAATTCTCGTGAACGATTCCGCCCTGAATTCCTGGCGCGAGGCTTCGGGCCGAGCGGAGAAGCGTCAGCGACAGTCCTGAAAAAAACCTTTAAATGTTAGTGTAATGGTAACAGTTTAACACGTAGGCTTTCGCGACCAATATCATCCATAACGGGTTTTTTTGTGGTTAGATCGCGTAAAAATATAAATGTGTCGTTAAAAACCCGCCACCACCCGACACAGACAATTAGTAAGGTTTGTCACTTAAACAGAGCGTGCCAATTCGTTACTCGTACAGCACACCGGTGTGTTGGAGAGCAAATCCACATTTACATGTTGTAAATGTGTTGGAGAGCAATTCCATACCATGTTGTTTACATGTTGTTTACATGTTGTAAATCTAATGGATTTTCTCTCCAACACAAACACACCGGTGTGCTGTACTAGTTACGAATTGGCATGTTCTGTTAACGTGTATTATAGATGTAATGGTAACGTAGAAAATTATATCTGGGGAAACCGCTGCCCAACGCCAGTGATATCTCGATTAACGCGAACAATCTTGGAGAGGGTACTTTTTATTATTTTTTTTACAAACTCAAGTTGCCCTTTCACTCGAGTTTCAGGCAGACTTCAAGTGGAGGGAAAAACGAAGAGAAGAAGACAGAGAGTAAGATGAACAAGATCCTACTTGTCAATCTCAGCCGGAGGACAGCAAACCAATGTTATAGCGAAAGCCAAACATCGGGGAGGGTGGATCGGTCGCAGACAATCAGTGGCGGAAATTCCACATTCTCACACTGGGGTCCAGTCTCTCCACAGTGAAGTCAACAGTCTCTCCATCGTCGGCTTCGTACAAACTACCGCTCTTTTTATTTTCGCTGCGAGAGGGAGTTGACTCAGCCCGTGATCCCTCTCGCGTAAATAAAAGGAGTGCCTCCTTTGCGGAATGTCAACAGCGGTTATGCTGCAGAGAAACCTGCCCCTCACCATCCGATGTGGACTTTTGTTGCCACGAGCTCAGGGCCATCAACGTAGATGGCCCACAAGGCCCACGTTCGAGTGAGCAGCACGAAGATGAGATGCAGCACGACGGCAACGTTCCTACGATTTAACCCGTTTGTCGTTGGGAGCGCTGAGACGCATCATATTTTTCTCACGAGATCTGCCAGTTATGCAAAGAAGAAAATCCATTCCCGTGATAATTCTGTGTAATTTATTGCCCGACCGGTAAAACAAATGCAATATCAGAAGAATAAATAGTCTACAATCATGGTAAATATAAGCATATTATAAATGAGAAATTGTTCTCTAATTGACTCATAATTATGATACGGAGGGGAATAGGGCATACAAAATGTCCTTTTAACATTTGAAGTCAAATAACACCCTGAATTCCCATGCAAAACATTTCTAATGCTTTAATGCCAACCAATCAATACCATCACCCTATAACCTTTCTACAGTCATTCTGATTCCATTGAGAATGTATTTGTCAATATTCGCTCGTTTCTGCAGGAATATAATCTTACGCACGCACGCATGCATTCCCCAAACCCGATAGTCGAGAGCATTATTATGAAAGCAAAATAAAAAACCGTTATATCACTCCCAAAGCATGTGCACTACAAACAAACAAAAAATAAAGAGACAAAGGTCTCCCGTGTAGCCTTAACAGACCGTGGGGGCAAGTGCTGTTAACGAGTAGCACCTATGAAGGCCGGCACGGCACACGAAGGGATGGGTGGCCAGCACCACGCCCGGCCGCCTTTGTCTCTCAAGTAGCAACGTTTGCACACAGTACCCGGTAGTCATTTGAGACTGAGTCGACCTAGGGGAAGCCCAGGACCAGGTTCACATAATCGAGAGCAGCGGTGGCCGTAAGTGCAGCGCGCTAACCGCCGCACTACAGCTCCTCAAAACAAACAAACACGCGGGCCCTGTGCACTGACAAAACACAGACATCGTGTTTTTTTGTGTGTGCTTTCATCCACTGCGAAAGGACGGATGACTCACGCTGTGACACTGTCGCACACAAGGCTGCCACGACCAAGCCGACGGCGGCATTTGGCGAGATCACCCGCGAAGCATTATCCTCCTCGCCCGCCACCGCCATGCCATCGTTCGTCGCCGTTGTCAGCAAGGGCGAGGCGGGCACGTGCGTGTACGGCCTCGGCTTTTGGATTGTGGAGTTGGTGGATCACGAGGACATTCTGACGCGAGGAACCCCACCTGCAGCGGCGCTATGGGGCCCGCTCAAGAAGGCAGGTCATGAAGCGAGGTTGCTCACCTCATTGTAAAGTGGTATTTTTTGTATAATTACGACGCTTGTATACCCAGGAAAGCCTCAAACATGACTCATGTTCAGGAGGGTCCTGCCAAGCCCACGCAGCAATTGCTGTGTAGATTCCAATTCAGTAATTTGCAATTGCTGAATTGGAAAATTTGCAATTACTGAATTGCAATTACTGAATTGGAATCTACATAGCAATTTGGACAATGACACTGGCACACAATGGCCGACACTGGCACATAAAGGGGCGCTGTGGTGGCGAGATGTTACCTCCCTCGCCTGGTACGCAGGAGATTGTGGGTTCGATCCCAGGCCCCTGACGATGCCTGTTGTATATTTGGAGTCTCTCCCCGTGGTGGTCACGTTGATATATTTCCAAGGCCTCTGCTTTTGTCCTCCACATTTAGAAACATGCTTGTACATTATGTATCTGCCAATATAAATTCACACTTGTGATGATGATGATATAAGCCACTTCGATGATCTCTCCCGGTGTGGCCAGGTCGGCTCTAAAAAAAGAGTTAAAAGCTCAATGGGCTTTACCTGGTCAATGAAATGGTTTCGTATCATTTACTCCTGTGAATGAAGTCTCGGGATCTTTAACATCCACCGTGAAGCTGGCGATGCGTAGTATATTTCAAGGTTCATAACACCCGCAGAATTAAATCGGGGTAGCAGCTGGATTCGAATCGTGAGCCTCTGCGACAAGCGGCCACTGTGCTACCAGTGTCCGTGTGGGTTTTCTCCCGGCACTCTGGTTTCCTATGAAATTCACAACGGCGTAGACGAAGGCCTCCCAGTGCAGTGTCGGTCACGGGGGTTGTTTACCTGACTTGACCGTGCTGGTCAGTGCACAGTGATCACGATTCACTCGCCGCTGATGAAGAATAAAACTCAGTACTAATAGGGGTTTTTCCCCTTTTTTTCTGGCAACAAAACTGACACCTTTTGCAAGGAATCATGTTAACATTAACCACAATACTTGCAGTCAAATGCAAATAAAAAACAATACTCTATTAATGTATGCATTGTCCTTGAAACTGATTGGTCCACACCATAGACAGCTTTTCTTAGAGCCTAGTCTCATATGGTGTTCGACCAGATGATGCCAAAAGGCGCAAAGTTGAAAGACAACGCACGATCAGAGTAATGAGAGCTCGGGGTAAGCATCTACATCATGAGGCCTCCTTTGCCAGTACCAAAATATACTAATAGAGTATTGTGTTTTGTTTGCATTTGACTGCAATGTTAACATGATTCCTTGCAAAAGGTGTCAGTTTTGTTGCCAGAAAAAAAGGGGAAACCCCCTATTAGTATATTTTGGTACTGGCAAAGGAGGCCTCATGAAATAAAACTCAGCTCACCAGGTTCAAGGCGCGGTACGCTAACCATTATGCCACCGCTCCCCAACTCTGGCTTCCAACTTACAGGTATTTTATTGCTGGCCCTCTTTAAAAAAGAGCCTTCAGGCTCAGGGGCTGCACTGAGTGAGAAAAGCATTCATTGTTCCAATTTGGTGAGATGTTCACTTTTAAACGAGAAATCTGGACTATGACACTGACATTTTGTTCCACTCCCGGTGCATTTTAATAAAAAAAAAATACCCTTGGCTTTGAGAAACAAATGTTTCCGTCAAAAAAATGCCTTACCCTTTCCATCTGCCCATAGGACTTGGCCTGGGTGAGGTCTGCAAAACAGAGACAGAGAGAAAACAAAGGGTAATTAAATTAATTTCAAAACGGTCAACATGTCCCAGCGGTTGGTTGTCGATTTAGTAGCTAACCTCCCCCCCCAACCCACCACCACCCCGTAGGTGGCCGAATTGTAAATGTTGCAGTGGGTTTACTCTCAAACACACAACCGGTGTTCTGTGCTAGTGACGAATTGGCACGTTCTGTTTATGTGACAAACCTTACTTGTTGGCCGTGTCGGGTGGTGGCGGGTTTAACGACACATTCATATTTACGCGATCGAACCTAAAAAAACCCCTCTATTATGAAGTGGTGTAAGTTCCACATTCCTCTGACAGCAAACAATCTTTACACAGGACAACCACTGTTCGCGTTCGGCAAAGTGGTTCTAATTATACCGACCGCGCTGAGGACCAACAGGGCATGCGGACCCTGTCTGGGATTTGAACTCACGACCTTTAAATGCGGTGCTCTCTGCTAAAGCCCCTCTGGGCAATAGAAAATTAAATTAAACTGATGAATAATAATATTATTATTTCTTTCAATAATAACAATGCCTTATTTAATGAACTCTCATTTCCCACAAATGAGGTATAATTAGGATTCTCTCAATGAGCCTCCGCGGGCTCCCAAATTTGAAAGCACGCGGAAATGAATTCCCTTAAGGGAAAATGATGCACGCAAGTAAATAAACACATTCAAGAAGTTTGTCGGGTTTTTGCGAAAAGCAAAATTTGTGTTTCGTGAAACGCAATCTGTAAGTAAAAATCTGCCTATGAAACTAAAATTGCCCCCAAGTAGTATGCGTTTAATTGTGTTCTATTACAACTGTGCTATCAGTATCATGCCACGAGACTCAGTGGCCATTCGTGACTCTTTAAGAGCTACTGCATGCCCCTCCCATGTGAGAAAGCGGCCTCTGGAAGGTCATCACAGAACAATAGAGATGTATGATAGAAACCAGACATGTCCTACAGATGTGCTTAGAAATGTTAAGTCACACGTTGTTTATCATTGAGTTGTTGAGCCGGGCTGGCTATGATTCGGCAAAGACAGGCAACCCGAGAGCAGAGACTTAAGATATTTCTTGACGTACCGAGATAACAACCAACAACTGCATTAAAAAAACTTTAAACAAATACATCACAGCGAAACAATTAAGAATAAGAAGAATTAAAACAAAATCGAAACCTAAAATCTTATCAATGACTCTCATACTGTCTGTGACACATGGTAGTAAAACTGATCTTTTTAATTACAATTTATTAAATTCTGATTATTATAATTTGTTTGGCAGTCATTTCACTGAGACCGTAAACTTCCGTTTTCAACAAGGGTGGCACCAACCCGGATTCAAACCCAGGTCCTCAGCAGTGCCGGGTCAACAATCTGACCTTCTGAGCCACCCCAATAACCTGTCTCCAAATGTGTTGTTGCTCGCACGACTCACAATGCGGCCCACGCTTGGCTTTGCCAGAAGACTGCGAAAATCCATCACTCTCTGTCTCGCAGAAGCCTTCTATGGCAATTTAATTCGCTGTCCCTCATTAGGCGATGCGTGAACGTAGCAAAGTTGCGCTGCGCTAAAAGATGCAGCAGTCATATCACTCTCGCTGACTTAGCGGTTCGGAGGCAAAAGCTGCAAAGCATTCTGGGGCGGCGGGGGGGGGGCGGTCACGCTTCAGGTTGGGGACAAGACAAGACAAACAGACACAGACGGATGGACATTTGTTCAAACATACAGAACAGCAGAAACACAAGCAGACTTAGGGACAGGCACGCAAGCAGTCTAGACACCGATTTAGGTTAACATAGAATGGCAGGAAGACAGATACAAAGACAGACAGACAGAGAGACAGGCAAACAGGGGAAACAAGCAGACCAGTCTACAGTTACACAGAGAGACCGTCAGGCAGACAAACAGATGGTCATACATAGACAGAGAGAAAGGCAGCAGGCAGAGATACAGACGGGAGAATCACAACACCAACAATGCATACTTTTTTGCACATATGTAGCATAAGACAATGGAGTCGTAATAATAGCCACGCGCTCTAGTTCTGATGAAATGTTGATCCACTCATGGTGTAATATTTGCTGAGCTAATACCACCCATTAACGTGTTACTCATAAAATCTGACGGGAAGAAATCGGACACGACTTTTTTTCCCGATAACGGTATAAGATCGTCGGTGCACGTGTACCGTACACGTGTTCAACTGAGGACAGCTGTAACATGTTTGCCATGATGGAATACCCTCACATATGCACCTCATAAAATGTAAGTGTGTGTGTGCGTTCACTTCCCGGTCATGAACACAATTTGCAATTGGTATCTGAAACTGGCTTGGGATTTCGTAAACAGGATTTGTCCTGACAGTCAATAATGATGAACGGGGTACCTCCGTCTTATTAGATTACACGTACATTACGTGTTACACAAGGATATCGCGCACATAACACATGTTAAATGTTTACTCCTTACAGAATTCAACCATGCGATGCTTTGGTTAAAATGCCAAACTCACACTCGGGGGGGGGGGTGGTGTCAAGTTCATAGTTTCGTTGGCAGATGACTCAGTCTAGCATCCCTTTGGGGTCGATAAAATGAGTAGCACTTTGTGGGAAGTAATCAGGGGTCATCCTACAGAGAGACTGACCTTTACCATAGGAATGTGGAACTTCTACCAATGGCCCAGGGCCAGAGAGATGAGCACCAACTTTAGTCGTACACCTCACTAAAGGTGCCATTGCGCAATTTCAACGTTTATCATTTTTTCACTTATCGCTGAACAAATATATATATACGCTCCGGGTGAGAGTGAGTTCTAGCCCCAATGCACGCTTTTCAAAAGTAATAAAACGATGATGAATCTCGATTTAAAGCTTTCGTGACTGCAGGGATTTTCTTGCTGTGGTTTTCACACCTGATGATGATTGCTTGTGTTGCAATCGAAACGTCGTGAGAATTTTATTGATTTATTTGTATTATTTTATTTTATTTCCCTTCTATGTGACTTTACTGAAAGAAACAAGAAAACGATGATAATCATATTCCTAATCCTAGCATCAATATTTTATGGACTCGGTCTGAGGGTGCAGATGAGATAGGATAGATATTGCAATGATGGAGGCTTTGAGAAAATAGCCTACAATTGTGGATGATACCACCTAGAGGTGACGGGTGGCAAGACCAAGCACGGCTTGGTGACATCACCTCGCACCTAAATCCACAGCTTGCGGTCGACAAACACCGTCCACGGAGTCAAACCTCGCCAAGCCGGACTCGGCGAGAGGGCCCAAGGCCCTTCACGAGCAGCGCTCGTGGCGGACCCTTGAACGCGTCAGTCAACCACGTGGTCTCCCGCCAGTGGCAACCTTGCTCTCTCTCGTTTTTGGACGTGATATTTCCATACATTTTAGTATTATTGTTAATTAAAAACGTACATTTCGGACCTCCCCGAAAGATCATTTTGACCCGCCGCCGCCGATGATACCTACATGTCGGACGGCCCCCGTAACATCACGGGCACAACCCCCGCATTGCCAGCTGTGGACACGCAGCACGAGCACAAAGCCAGTCACAGTGGCGTGCTGCTTGGCTCTTATTAAAAATAATAAACAAGCCGGAGGTGGCCGGGGATACAAAAAAAAGGTCACGGGGTGGAGCAGGCCACTTGTTAATAGGCACGGCGGCAACGTGAAATTACCGTCCGCCGTCGCTACCGCCGCTCGTTACTGCCACTCTGAGCCAACTCTTTGTCACGCATGCCGGCTCCTACAGAGGAGCAACCGCTGCCACCTTTCCGCGGGTCCCAGGTGTTAAACGGCAGGCTCTGTAGTAATGCACAATTGCACATTTCGTGCGTGTTTCATAAAGGGAACGGAATATTGTCATCCGGGTTTTATCACTCGATGGCATCTTTTTGATTCCCCGTTTATTAACCGGACCGGCACAGTGCGCACAAATCTCGTTTCATTTTTCTGCTTTTTTTCCCCCGAAATAAATGTTTACTGCCACAGCGTGCATTATGTGAATTGCATTTCTGGAATGAAACAAATCTTTAGAGCCACAGATGCTCTTTTGTAGATTATGATCCCATGATGTAACAGGAATCTTCGCTTAAATCGGGTCTCCTGTTCCCTCCTCCCCGTGCTCCCACACATTCAGAATTCTGCCACGCTCCTGCCGTAAACACCAAAAGCTAACAGGGGAATAAAAAAAAACATGAAGACCAAGTGGAAGGAGCTCCAGGACGATGGCCTTAGCACATGGGGTGGTTTTAGCATGTGAGCTATGGTTATGGTCTGGTTGGTCAGCGTGGTTAGAGCTAACGTTATGGTCTGGTTGGTCAGCGTGGTTAGAGCTAACGTTATGATCTGGTTGGCCAGTGTGGTTAGAGCCAGCGTTATGATCTGGTTGGTCAGTGTGGTTAGAGCTAGCGTTATGGTCTGGTTGGCCAGTGTGGTTAGAGCTAGCGTTATGATCTGGTTGGTCAGCGTGATTAGAGCTAGCGTTATGATCTGGTTGGTCAGCGTGGTTAGAGCTAGCGTTATGATCTGGTTGGCCAGTGTGGTTAGAGCTAGCATTATGTTCTGGTTGGTCAGTGTGGTTAGCGCTAGCGTTACGATCTGATTGGTCAGTGTGGTTAGAGCTAGCGTTATGATCTGGTTGGTCAGTGTGGTTAGAGCTAGTGTTATGATCTGGTTGGTCAGCGTGGTTAGAGCTAGCGTTATGATCTGGTTGGTCAGCGTGATTAGAGCTAGCGTTATGATCTGGTTGGTCAGCGTGGTTAGAGCTAGCGTTATGATCTGGTTGGCCAGTGTGGTTAGAGCTAGTGTTATGTTCTGGTTGGTCAGTGTGGTTAGCGCTAGCGTTACGATCTGATTGGTCAGTGTGGTTAGAGCTAGCGTTATGATCTGGTTGGTCAGTGTGGTTAGAGCTAGTGTTATGATCTGGTTGGTCAGTGTGGTTAGAGCTAGCGTTATGATCTGT